GCCTATTTTTCTCTGGTTTATCTTATAATTACTGTAACGGACCGTTTTGCACACAAGGGATAAAAACCGTTTAGGTGATCGTCCCCCTTTCCAGAGATGCAGGCACAGCTATTGTAACACACCAAACTCACGAACCGACAATAAGTGAATGCTCCAAACTCCCGAACGGCATCCAATACAGCACTCCAAACACACGAACTGGAACCATACGAATCGCTGCTAGCAGACGAATAGGAAAAGCATCCAAGCGGCTTACACTCCTAGCAATCAGTCTCTATCAGCGTTCAGTAAATCCCCCCAAAGACGAGACAAGGCTCCGTGTTGAGGGTCAAGCAGTGGTCAGACAGAGCTGTGGGTTTATTGTGCTTATGTACACATTCTTACACATTAGTACCACCCACATGGTTTTGGAACACAACCAATAAACACATACAATACACTCAGACACTCCCACACAAATTCCTCCCCTCTGCATGTGATTCAATTACCTTACACAATGGGTAATGTAATTTAGCACAAGCAGAGAAATACAATTTTTCCACATTATTCATAACTTGAAAAGTATGCATCACATTCACATTTACATTTTCAGAATCAGCATACTCCAAATACAAACATATGTCAAATTCATACAAATTGGTCCAATGGTTCAAAAGATAGATCATAGTCCTTTGTGACCAAAGGAAGCATGGCTTTTCTGCCCAAAACCAGTTCCACAGAGTCTTCTATCCTGGAGATAATTGGGAAGTAATCCAATTATCTCCAAGGACAGAGGCAAAACTCCAGTGAACACATGGCAGCAAAAGACAATAAAATACATAAAAGTATATAACGGTGCAGCCATTGCATAAAACAGGTACATTCAACATATCCCCAGATATCTCACATCTGAGCGCACATTATTACTGAATGGCGCTCAGATCACACACATACAGTTCAATTGCAATGGAGCCAAAGTCTTTCCCATAGTCTTTCATTATACGAATGGGCTCCATGGCATAGCTATCTGGGGTATCACCGCTCAAACAGGGCAAGCACCGAATGACCCAGCTTTCGTGTCTTCGCAGGGGGAAATCAAGCGTTTCAACATGGGGCCATAGTCTAAAGGCAGAAGGCGGGCAACCAGGCTCCTCCAATGCACAGTGGCGAGATTGGTCTCGTCACAAGCAGGTTTCATTTTTTATTTCCAACTTTTTTCCTTTTTTTTTTATAGATTTTTTTTAAATCTTTGCTGATTTTATTTAAACCATTTCCTCTCTTTTTGTATTTATATTTTTCTCCTTGCTGTTTTAATTTAAAAACTTTTCCCCTTTTTCTTATATATGTTTTTATTTAAAACTTTTTCCCTCTTTTTTTTCTCTTGCTATTTTTATTCCCCTCCTTGTGTGTGCTGCTGCTGAGCTAGTTAGGGGGAGTGCCCCTTAATTACTACCTGTGTGTGATTTGTATTACCAATATAAACCCACTACTGACTCACATAGCTTGTGCACTGGAGTTTGCTTTTAAGTAGGAGTTGAAACAACAGGAGTTTCGACTAAAATGGAATTTAAGCCAAGAGGGTAAATATTGTTTTGCTCACTTGTGTTTTTAGGAACTGGAGATGAGTGCTAGCAAGATTGCAGGTTTTACGCAGTGCACATCCTATTGCATGTATGCATGCCTGGATGAATCTGTCCAGGGTCCATACCTCTGCAGCGCGTGTAAATGAGTGGCTTCTCTGGAAGCTCAGATTGGAGATCTGGAGAGGCAAATTGCAACACTGAGGGAGATTGACAATCTTGAGAGGAGTCTGCTGCTCACTGAGCAGAGTTTAGTGGGGGCAGGCAGTGGAGTAGGAGGAGATGAGACAGCTGGTGAACAGGCACAGGCCGGGTAACAGTGGGACGAGGAAGCAGAGGGGGAGGGAAGAGGAAAGATTTAGCTAGTTCTAAATTTGTGCAAACTAACAGATTTGCCCATTTGAGTGAAGATGTCAGGAGCTTCAGCTCAGGAGTAGCTGTACTGCAGAAAGCTGTTCCTTCTAACAGCCGTGTGAGCAGCCCCTCTAGTATGGGTGGGGTTGAGAGGGTAAGGAAGGCTAGACAGGTTGTGGTTTTAGGGGACTCTATTATTAAGAGAGTAGATAGGGTAATCTGCCGCTCAGATCGTCTCAACCGGACAGTTTGCTGTCTCCCGAGTGCTCTGGTCCTTCATGTTGCTGACAGAGTGGAGGGATTATTGGGAGGGGCTGAGGATGACCCAGCTGTCATGGTCCATACTGGTACCAATGACAAAGTCAGAGGAAAATGGAAGGTCCTAAATAATGAGTTCAGGGAACTATGAAGTAAGCTAAAGAAAAGTACCTCCAAGGTAATATTTTTAGAAATATTACCTGTGCCGCATGCTGCAGCAGAAAGGCAGCGGGAGATTAGAGAGGTCAATGCATGACTGAAGTCTTGGTGCAGGAAAGAGGGTTTTGGGTTTTTAGAACACTGAGCCAATTTTGCGCTTGGGTACAACCTGTATAGTCCTGATGGAGTACACCTAAACGGAAGTGGGTCTGCTGTGCTAGGGGATAGAATGGCTAGAGGTTTGGAGGAGATTTTAAACTAGTAGTAGGGGGGGAGGGTCATAGCAATATAGAAAATGGAGATAGGACAGAAAGGAGATGGGCTTTAGCTCAGTATAAGGGGGGTGGAGATGGGGGCAAGCTCAGAACAGAGGAGGTATTTAATATTGATAATAATTCACAAAAATTACAAATGACTCATAATAATATTAAATGTATGCTTACTAATGCAAGGGGCCTAAATAACAAAATTAGGGAACTAGAGGCAATAGCATACACTAAACAATATGATATAATAGGCATAACAGAAACTTATAGAAACTTAGAATGTGACGGCAGATAAGAACCATTTGGCCCATCTAGTCTGCCCAATTTTCTAAATACTTTCATTAGTCCCTGGCCTTATCTTATAGTTAAGATAGCCTTATGCCTATCCCACATGCTTAAACTAATTTACTGTGTTAACCTCTAGCACCTCAGCTGGAAGGCTATTCCATGCATCCACTACCCTCTCTGTAAAGTAGTACTTCCGGATATTATTTTTAAACCTTTGCCCCTCTAATTTAAGACTATGTCCTCTTGTTGTGGTAGTTTTTCTTCTTTTAAATATAGTCTCCTCCTTTACTGTGTTGATTCCCTTTATGTACTTAAATGTTTCTATTATATCCCCCCTGTCTCGTCTTTCCTCCAAGCTATACATGTTAAGTTCCTTTAAACTTTCCTTGTACGTTTTATCCTGCAATCCATTAACCAGTTTAGTAGCCCTTCTCTGAACTTTCTCTAAAGTATCAATATACTTCTGGAGATCAGGTCTCCAGTACTGCGTACAATACTCCAAGTGAGGTCTCACCAGTGTTCTGTACAATGGCATGAGCACTTCCCACTTTCTACTGCGAATACCTCTCCCTATACAACCCACTGGCGGATCCAGGGGGGGCAACGGGGCAATTGCCCCCCCCGAGAAATCCTCCGGTCTCCCTCTCCCTCCCCTGCCAGGACATGCAGGTGCTAGCCCTGCAATGTGCCTGCGGACCGGAGGGGAGATCAGAGATCTCCCTCCCCGGTCCGCAGGCACTGTGCTGACAGCCGGCGGGGGAGGGAAAGGGAGGACCCGGGAGCTCAGTCTGCAGCTCCTCCGGGTCCTCCTCTCGTGAGATTTGAAGCGTTGCCGCGGTTACCGCGGCAACGCTCCAAATCTCGCGAGAGTGAACTCTAGCCCGGGAGCGCGGGCTAGAGTTCACTGTAACCACTGGGACCACCAATGAATCACCACTGGGACCACCAGGGAATCACCACTGGGACCACCAGGGAATCACCACTGGGACCACCAATGAATCACCACTGGGACCACCAGGGAATCACCACTGGGACCACCAGGGAATCACCACTGGGACCACCAGGGATGAAAATATGTCCCCCCTCCTCCCCAGTAAAGGTAAGAAGGGAGGGGGGACATAGGATTTTTTTTTTTAAATTAAATAAAGATATATATTATTTTAAAAAAGCCCCCCCTACCCTTAACACACACACACACACACATAGCCCCCATGCTGCCCCCCCCCATACACACATACTGCCCCCCATGCTGCCACCCCATACACACATACTGCCCCATACACATACTGCCCCATACACACACACAGAAGACATACTGCCCCCATGTTGCCCCCCATACACACACATACTGCCCCCATACACATACTGCCCCCATACACACATACTGCCCCCATACACATATACTGCCCCCCCATACACACATACTGCCCCTACAAGCTTCCCCATACACACATACTGTCCCCCATACACACACATACTGCCCCCATGTTGCCCCCCCATACACACATACTGCCCGCCATACACACATTGCAGCCCCATACATAATATACTGCCCCCATCCACACATACTGCCCCCATGCTGCCCCCCCATACACACATACTGCCCCCCATGGTGCCCCCCCATACACACATACTGCCCCCCCATACACATACTGCCCTCATACACACATACTGCCCCGCATACACACACACTGCCCCCATACACTGCCGCCCCATACACACACATTGCCCACATTCACACACACACTGCAACTGTTACACACACATACTGTCCCACACATACACTGCATCCCTGACATACACTGCCCCCCCTACTCACACACTACAACCTTCACACACACACACACACACTGCTCACACACTGCACCCTTTACACATTGCACCACTCACACACACCACTGCTCCTATGCCCTACTACCGCCCCATTTCCCAGCAGACCTCAGGTAAGTTGTCAAACTGTTCTTAAACGGTTTGACTACTTACTCTAGGAGGGGGTCCCGGCACTATTGACTTGACACCATAACCACTACACTGAGCTGTAGTAGTTATTGTGTCTGGATTATTTCTTTAAATAATCTACAAGTGCCCCTCCCGAGATCAGGCTCTGGATCCGCGACTGTTACTAGTAAGGGGACTGGTTCATCCTAGATAGCACTCCAACATATCTTACAATCAGGGCCGGCGCGTCCATAAGGCGGCACAGGCGGCCGCCTTAGGGCGCACCGGCCCGGGGGCGCAAATGTCCGGGTGGCCGGCAGGAGAGAAGCGCACAGCTCCCCTCTCCTGCCGGTCTCTTCTTGTAGCGTGGCCGAGCGCCAACCTGCAGTGCCGCGGACTGTGTGGAGGGGGCGGGGATATGAACGTCATATCCCTGCTCCCTCTGTAGCACACAGCGCGACTGGTGCCCAGCAGGGGCGGAGCTACGGGCCCCCATCTAATCAGCATGGGAGGAAGTCCTCCCAAGAAGACAACAGCAGCAAAAGGCAGAGAGGAGGGGGCTGGGCAGGACCAGCTCCTCCAACTCCCAACTACTTCAGGCAGCACTTTGGATCCCAGGTAAGCCCCCCTTCTGAACCTGTTGGTCAGTGTGTGTGTGTGTGTATCTATGTCTGTCAGTGTGTGTGTGTGTATGTCTGTCAGTGTGTGTGTGTGTATGTCTGTCAGTGTGTCTGTGTGTATCTATGTCTGTCAGTGTGTGTGTGTATCTGTGTCTGTCAGTGTGTGTATCTGTGTCTGTCAGTGTGTGTGTGTGTGTGTATGTCTGTCAGCGTGTCTGTGTGTATGTCTGTCAGTGTGTGTGTGTATGTCTGTCAGTGTGTGTGTGTGTGTATCTATGTCTGTCAGTGTGTGTGTGTGTGTGCATTCATGTCTCGTCAGTGTGTGTGTATGTCTGCCGTGTGTGTGTGTGTATCTATGTCTGTCAGTGTGTGTGTATCTGTGCCTGTCAGTGTGTGTGGCGTCTGGCTGCGTGTGTGTGTGTGTATCTATTCTGTCAGTGTGTGTGTGTGTGTGTGTGTATGTCTGTCAGTGTGTGTGTGTGTATGTCTGTCAGTGTGTGTGTGTATCTGTGTCTGTCAGTGTGTGTGTATCTGTGTCTGTCAGTGTGTGTGTGTGTGTGTATCTATCTCTGTCAGTGTGTGTGTGTGTATGTCTGTCAGTGTGTGTGTATCTATGTCTGTCAGTGTGTGTGTGTGTATCCATGTCTGTCAGTGTGTGTGTGTATGTATATGTCTCTGTCCATGTGTCTGTGTGTATCTAAATGTCTGTGTGTGTGTGTCTGTCTGTTAGTGTGTCTTTGTGTGTCTTCTTCCCTATCATTGTGTATGTGTGTCTGTATGTCACTGTGTGTTTATCTGTATGTCTGTCAGTGTTTGTGTGTACCTGTGTGTCTATCTGAATGGGTATCAGTTTGTGTATATGTATATCTGCATGTGTCAGTGTGTGTATCTTTGTGTATGTGTATCACAGTGTGTGCATGTGTGGCAGTGTATGTGTATATGTGCATATATCTCATTCAAACACAACACTACACACAAATAAACACCTGCATGCAAACGTCAACACTACATACAAACACACCTCTGTATCAGACACCAAAATTATATATAAACACACACCTGCGTTCAAAAACCAACACTACACATAAATGCATGCTTGCATTCAAATGCAAACACTACATACAAACACACCGCTACAATCATACAAACATACTCCATACAAACACATGCTTACAGTCAAACACACAAATACTGCTCCATGCTAAATACAATCCTGCAAGCATGGGGAATCGGTAGAGCCCCAGCTTTCAAAGCATTGTTGAAGTTTCACGACAGATGGGGATCTATCTTTTAGCCATCCTGTGTACATACACAGACCGTCATACAGAGACATACAGTATGTATGTCTCTGTATGACTGTGTAAATGTATTCAAAAGGAATAAACGCAGGCAACACTCCAATAGTAAGGATGG